CTAAAGGAATGGAAATAGACCTTAAATAGAAAAATTCAATTTGTTTAAAGATTATTTCTCTTATTAAATGTCAAAAATATCTTGGTCTGACAAGCGGTCCCGCGGTTTTGATTGAGAGGGTTCATTGAATCCTCTAATATAGTTTGATCGCGAGCCAAAGTTGTTGTCAATAATCAGGCGCGGTTGCCCCTGCAGAGGTCCCATCATGCGTTTGAAGAGGTCCCACCCCCTGTACCTGGTTGCACTTGCAGACAAATTCGAAAATGGCAACTACCCCTCTTTGTTCATTACTGCAGAGCTGAGTGCTGAGTGCTTCCAGTGCAATGCACCCATTGAAACCTCCTTGCTTCATTAGGGCTGAGTATTTCCAGTGCTATGCACCCGTTGACTCTTGTATCTCAGTAGAGATCGCCCAAACTGTTGTAAGAAAACCACAACTCCTTGCTTGATTTCCGGCAGACAATGTTGCGACAGTGCTACACCTTCCAAATGTATTGTAATGGTACAGAAACGTATTGGTCGCCCCTCCTGAAAGGGAATGCAGAACCTGATGTGCCAGAGATACTGGACGGCTTGCTTTGACAGTCTAGGATTCGATGTCTTGTTTTGGAGCGTTGTTCTTGCTTAGTATGTCAGCATGGAGCACCTTGGACATCACTACATGACAACGACGCCAGTGACAACGGTTCACTGTCTTTCGACGGCAAGCAGAAACGACAATCCACTGCAAGCAAACATGCAATGTCTTCGTCTTTCAATGGCAAGCACAAAGCCGACGACAATGCGCTACAAGAAAGAATGTCTTTGTCCAAGATGAGTGGCCTTTCGTATTAACTTCCATACCATATGCCAACTTGGGGTCCCTCGGAACTGCTCTTCCCAAGTCAAGCTACCTGATTTCTGCTCAAGATCTCATTTGTGGTATTATCGTTTTGTTGATTTCTTGTTTATTGATGATGTCAGGCTCTGGACACACAAGAACTATTACGAGCAATAAGCATCACTATATAACAGATTACTACTAAGCTAGGCTACTACTTTCTGTTTTTTCTTCTCACTGCAAAGAGTTCCTTATGGATATTGTTGATTTCTTCCTCATTGTTGATTTTTTGTTTGGATCTCAGCGTAGTTCAAATAGTTGATGAATTTTAGCTTGCGAACAGCTTGGTAGATCCTAGGTCTGAAGGAGAAATTTACATCTCCATTACCGTATGAATACGACAAATTGATGTAGCGTGTTAATTGAAAAATATCAGTGGATGATCGTGAAGATTCAAAGTTCTCTGTAGATGAACCAGCTACAGAGAACTTTCTTTCTTCACGATCATCTACAGACTTTTATTATATAGACGGTGGTGGCGCGTTAATTGAAAATTCCCTGTAGATGATCGTGAAGACAAAAAGATCTCTGTAGATGGTCGTGAAAATTCAAAATTCTCTGTAGATGATCGTGGAACTTGTTAACAAGTAATACTTATCGGTTCAATTCCACAATTATCTACAGAGAATTTTGAATTTTCACGACCAGCTACAGAGAACTTTCTTTCTTCACGATCATCTACAGGGAACTTTTTGTTCTACACGACAGTTGTTAAGTAACATCTGGTGGCCCGTTAAATGAAATAGGCCTCAAAAACCTGTAGATGGTCGTAAAAACTCAGAAAAAACCTGTAGATAATCGTGAAGATCGAAGATTCTCTGTAGATGGTCGTGGTTTTGATAAGTACTATTTATTGGTTCACAATCACGATTATCTACAGAGAATTTTCGATTTTCACAACTTTCTACAGGTTTTTCCTGAGTTTTCACGACCAGCTACAGACATTTGAGGCCTTTTGCAATTTCTTGCACTGGCGGAAGGACAATGGCTCGCTTTTCTCCTTCTGGAAGGAGTGCCATTATTGACCAAAAAGATCAGTTACAGATTTTTTCGGCATGTCCCTGTGCGGAAATCCAGTTTTTCCGAAATACCTGGGAACCAAAACGACTCAATCGACTTCAACATGGAAAAGATTGGCAATGATGACACATCCGTGTTGGGTTGTGACTTCCAAACACTATCGTTTCAAGATCTGAATGCATGTGATATTACACTAATATGCCAGGAATAGTGTACAGGATTTTTTCAAAACGATTTGCTAAATTGAGCTGTTTTGAGTAAAATATCGACAATGCAGTTTTATTGATGTATCAAACAATGGATTGCAGAGTCAGCTACAATACGCCCCAGGCAATATTGTCCATTAATAATCTATAGTAAATTTATTAAAAGGAACAAGTAATAAATGTGCTGCGGTAGCGTAGAGTCAGTTACAAAGGCTCCAGAGAAACAAAAGCAAATCACCATTGTTTTTTTGGAAAACACAAAATTGCCTTTTTCATCACCCAAGTGACATTTTTTCACGCCTTTCGAGCATTCCTACATCATGATGTAGGTGATACTTGCTGGATCTCATTCTATTTGATGATTCAAAAGTTAGAGATCTTGCTTTTTCCAATGGCAATGGATGGTAGGATTTCTACACAGTAAGACTTTTTGGAGAAGAACTTGATCTTGAGGTTTTGATCAAGGTCTTATTCGAAACGTCTAATCCAAGCAAGAACAAAGTTTCATTGACAAGTTCTTGGCTCATTGTGATAAGACAGCGAAACAGATAACTAAAGGCTTATTGCTACAGTGTAACGCTTGAGTTTTTTACAGACTGTTTGAAAGTATAGAACTTTCGAGTATTGATCTCTGAATTAGTCTCATCAAGAACGGTATATGCCCATGAAAAACAAAGGGCAAATTGTAGCTGACCTACAGCAGATACAATCACGTTCAAGTGAATTGATCATTGATATTGGTGAGGAACAGGACATTCGGAGTGTACCGGAGCAGAACAGCAGGGAGAAGAAAACTCCGCTCTCGATCGGCAACAAAGTGCTGATTGGAAAGCTGAAGAAAGGTCAAGAGCCGGTTGGAACAGTGGAGGCAATTGGTAGTTACTTTGTGACCGTACAGACAAACAAAGGAACGGTACAAAGAATCCCAAAGAACTTGAAGAAAGTGGGAAAGTAAAAAGGAGAAATTGGAGCAAAAAAAAGGAAGGTTTTCGCAGAATCATGATGTCAGGATACAACAGGTCCGCGACTATGGAAGGGCTCGAGAAGCTGCAAGCACCAGAAGAGGGTGACACAGAGCAAGATCTGGAGGACTTCATGAGAGAGGATTGAGCCAGAGTGGCGGCAGATTGGCCGAACGGGTCGGACGTGAGCGACCTGATGGAGAATGAGGAGGAGCCGGAGATCACAGCTCCTGAGAAGATCACCGAGGACGAGGCAAAGAAGATGTTTCTCAAGGATTGGTACCAGCGTGCGCTGGACAAGTACTACGGAAGGATGGATCATCTGGAGAACAACATCAGTGTTCTTTTCAACCAGGTGATGCAACACATGACCTCCATACTGAGGAACAAGGTCAAGGCCAGCAAGGGTCACGGTGAGGCTTCTAGCCAGAGTGATTTGCTGTGGCTGCTGAACACCATTGGCAATATCATGTCTGGATATTATGTGGGAGTGACCCCCAAAGACATGGCACTGGACTCTTCTCTCAAGAAGATCCTAACCAGGAAGCAGAAGGCCACTGAAACTAATGAGGCCTATGCGAAATGGATGCTCAAGGCCATCAAGACCTTTGAACGCCGTGGAGGTGCTTTTCTGTGGACTCCGTCCAACGAGAAGGAGTTGGTTGCTGAAGTTGCAGCAGAAAAGAAGGTTTTCAACGATGCTGCGAAGGCTGCAGGCTCATCGTCCATGACAGTGGATGAGGAGTCAGCGGTGCGCTGTTCGAAGAAGAATGCCCTCAAGCAGCATGGAATTGCCATGTCCATTCTGAAGAGAGCCAATCCCAAACGGTCTTGGGGAGCTCAAACACGACCTGGCCAACAGGTACCTGACCGAGATAAACGGTCTGAATTTGGAGATGAAGAAGGCAAGACGTTTCTTGTTAAGCGAGCACTTTACGGGCGAAAATCATCAGCCTTGGCATTTTGTTTAAATTTTGCAAAGACATTGGAAGAATTGGGCTTTTATTTGTCTTATGCTGATCCAGATGTATGTTTAGGATACATTGGATGATGAACCAACACACATTTTGTGTGATAATGAAAGCGTGGTAAAGAATTTGACACTTGTTGATTTAAATCGTAAGTGTAACATCGAAATTTACATTGAAATCCCTGGAACCAATGCATGAGAGGTCCCAGGAATCGCATAGACTTGAGATTGATCGAGCAGTCCAAGAAGCGTCAAAAAGAAACAGAACACTTTGGTCCATGAGCGTTGTGGTCGCTTGATGGAGTGCTTTGGACTTAGACGGACTTGCTTGATATGTTTCTGGGCATAAGGACAACACCATTGAGTTGGAATTTGGACATTGGACAATGTGGCAATGGTAGACCCACAATAAGTCACTTGGGCATCTTCAAAGGAGACTGAAAGTAGGGGGCAAGGCGAGGCTGAAGAGGCCCAAGGTAGGCATCCTCCCTCTCTATCCATCGCACAGAGAGCCAATAAGGAATGTAGTAGTAGCGCACGGTACAAAAGGCCAAGTAGGCTGTAGAAAAATGTTCCAAAAGGCGGTCCCTGCACCGTGCCAATGGAACGAAGAAGAAGGAGAGGAGTTGGCCGAATAGGTCGGCAAGGGGCCAAGGCAATGGCGTGTAGATGATGTAGGTGTAGATGGAGCAGGTAGCGAGGGTGATCCTGTGGATCAAGAGCGGAATGTGATAATACCGAAAAGTAGCAAGGACCAGGTAGCAAAGGGAAAGGACATTCGAGAGGACCAAGTAGGTCAAGGGAAGGAAGTAGTGAAGGGAATGGAAGCGCCGTGCCAAAGTGGAGACAACAAAGGTGCAAAAATTGAGGCTGAAAGTTTCAGTGAAGGGCCATAGCAAACGAATATAGAATATGCAAAGTAAAACTGAGCAGACTCTCTTACAAATGCAATGGCATAACCATCAATTGTTGGCGGAGGCTGCTGCCATTGCCTCACCAAGGAAGTTGGCCAATTTGTCATTGCCAGAAGCGACCATACTCATAGCATTAGCAAGCAAAGCTTGGAGGTTCCGAGATGGAGCTCCTCCTCCTGTAGTCGTAGAGTCGTCAGTCGGTTCAGTCTCAGTTCCGGCTGCAGCTGTTCCATCATCATTAGTGGTGTTGTTGTTGTCTTCCTTCCACTTGAGCCGAGTGCAACATTTGGTGGCCTTGTGAGTGTGCCATTTGACTCTCTCACGATGGTTGGGACGATCACAGAAGTACCAAGTGGTATTCTTGTACTTCTTGGTGTCTCCAACAAGGTAAGTGGCTCCTCCTTCAGAGGCAGGTTGTTTGAAATGACAAATGAAAGGAGGAAGGGACTTTGAGTTATCATCATCAGGTGGCGTAGGGTCACCTTTCTTCTTCGTGGGAACCTTGGGTGGTGGCTTCTTGTAGCCTTCAGCAATCATGGCCTGAATGTCATCGTGTGCCGAAACATTCTTCCATTTGTAGACACGACCGTTGTCAAGGGACAACTTGTGTGCCTTCAATGCAGCAGCGTTCATCAGTTCATTGCTTTTGTTGCCTGCAGTTCCAGGCAGCCCCGTACTTTCATGTAGGTCAATCTTGGTGGTGACCCAAGAAGCCCATTCAAGCGGCTGACGAATATGGGAATAGCATCAAAAAATATACTCGGTGCGTTGCGCATCAGAAAGTGCTTTAGATGAAGTCGTGGCAAGAGTGAATAGGCGACTGAAGGCCCCGATCCACGAAATACCCCCCCATAATTTGGGTGGAATTTGGAATTCTTGGGACAAAGCAAAAATTTCAAAAGACACATACGGACCTAAAACCTTTTCACAGCGCTAGAGAATACTTTGCCCATCCCTTGTAAAAAATTCCAAGTTCATAGGAGGTGTTATGGGCTCCACTGCAGAAAACAACTTTCTGGTAACGGCTAAAAAAACAGCCGTTAGTCAAATTGACTCAATTCACTTGATATTGACTGGTGTGATTGCCAAAAAAAACTCAAGAGGCCAGAGGCTGATCTTGTACCGTACGACCTCTTTGCAATTACATTCTTAGATAAATTTCAATGCGATATTATAAGTATATATATTTGCTAGGATTGGGTCCACTCTGAATTAGAGATCTTTGTGTATATCGATCTTATTTCAGGCCATTCCACAAAGTCAATTGAAAAGTAGGAAAGAGAGAAAAAATTTATGCTATCCTAGATTCGTTTTTCCGCCATAGCCCTCCAAACCACCACCCAAATTCGATTACTATATATATTTTGACCAACTTTGATCTTGGTGCCATTGTGTCAGGGTATCGACTCGGCTACTGAGAAGGTTTCCAGCCACATTGATTCATGAACCTGGATTGATCCCCAAAGCAGTGTGAATGCTATTCAATCACTTTTACCTAGAAAATGTCCACTACAAAGCCACCAATCTTCTCATGCATACCCATGGACGACAAATATGTGTTAGAACAAGCCATTTTTAGGAAATCCGGCCCACACCACCACCAAGTGGCTTTTTGGACCAGATTTCCATGATTTCTGACCCTGTTTGGGCGGCATGATTCTTAATCTAGGCGGAACCATTGCCTGGGTCCCAGAAAATTTGAACCATAGGCATCCAAGGGAGGCTCTGGTGTATTGTTGAATGGTTGGCTGTCTCCAGGGCGGCCACGCCGACCTTCATGCTGAAAGGGGAACAGACAGCACCAAACACTGGAATTCCAATATCTCAACAAGCATTCATAACAAAACACAACCGAATGGATCCCCGAGTAGGTAGGATTACTGCCGAGCTTTCCAGCACATGTTGAATGGGAGGCGTTGGCCTCTTGACTTTCTGCCAACCAGTTTTGGTAGCCCAACAGAACCAGTCGAACGAAACAGGGTAGATTGTAGTGTAAGTGAGGCAAATAGAAGTATGAATGGCCGCTCCAGCCATAGTCTATCTATCAAATACGCTTGCCACAACATGGGCTTCACTTTTTACTTCTCTGGGCGTCCACACTGGCTTGTCCAAACGAGGGGGACAATCGCTCCATGCCACCCTGATGTGCTCCAAATCATCAATTTTGGTAGTTCGACACTGGGGACGAGTCTCCGTGTAGGTATTGTCTTGATGGTGACGGTAGATATGAGTTGCACTTGGAAAATACGTCTTCTTGACACCTATCCGTCCAGTCCAAGCAACCAACGGAACCAATCATGGTGGATTATTGTGTGATTGAGGCCCAGAAAAAGATGTTCAACATTTTTTACTGCCGCTCCCAACGTAACATATATATCCACAACCTCTGATTCCACTTTCTCTACTCATGGGGTCCAGACCGACAAATTTGCAGCTCAATGGTCTACGTTGAAAATCGTCCTGTAGGATCCCAGATATAGAATATAAAATGGTATCATTACCGTTAGGATAATAAGATAAGCAACTTCCGCAGAACATTCTAGCTCTATGTTGCCTTGGGACTTTGTAGACGTCCCGAAATCTCTCTAAAAGTAGTTTTCGTACCTTGTTGAGGTTCTTTAGCAGTGATTTCAGAGGTGAAAGGGGCAAATGCATCCATATCGCTTCATACAAACAATATAGATACGACCCACGAGTTTTCCTCTAGAGGGTGATGCTTTCCTTGGCCTCGGGCTCACCATTGCCAATGAAAGGGAAAATTGATGTGATTGACAGGCAAGCGCAGAGAGGTGCGCAATGGGTTCAGAAACAGATGACGTACGGAAAATATTGGGTTCGCGCGCAAATTCTACCAAGCGACTCGTGGAATTTTCCGTAGGAGCAAAATGGAATCAAAATGGCATCCGAGACATCACCTTTGTCAACAATACCATGTGCCGATACTAACAAAGCTGGCCTATTACCTATATCCAAGCCTATAGTATATTACCTACAGCTATTCGTCTTCCTTAATTCATTCCACTCTCTCCACAGTGGCAGTCTTGGCCATTCTTCAGCAACTGCCGCCGCAACACGGAAACCATAGTAGCTCTCCAACATAACAATCAACAGATCTTAGACCTTGGGGAAAAGGAAGGGAAGGGAAGGGGAATCTTTCAATTGTCACTCTTTTGTTGTGCCGTTTTGAGCCTCTTCTGTAGTAGATTGTTTCATTTTCTCGATAACTATCACCCCACTTCTCTGACCTTGACCTTGCATGACTGCGCTAATGAAAACCAATCGATCTGGTGGTACACGTATTGTAGACGATGCAGGTGTTGCAGACGGCGTAGCTACCTTCTTTAGCTTTTGTTTCGCTGTAAATCATCTTCCCATCGTGAATGGTGATGCGAATCAGTAAATTCGTCGTCACTAGATCAAAAATTGTCGCAAACCGGTTTTGAGCATAGGGCTAAAATCCTAGAAAGAATGCGCGTCGAACCGTCTAATCGGCGTTAGCGTTAAAATGCGCTGCTAGTCAGCCAAAACAGATCAATTACTGGACGAAATATAGACAAGGGAAACTTGTGACTACCAAATCCTTTCAGACTACAAAACTACACGTACGGAGGACAGACCACGTACTTCCCAAAATAATGTTAGATTGCGACGTCTTTAAAAAATGACCAATTTGGATTTCTATGGTGATATTTTTTCAGAAAAGCCCGAAAGTGGGTATGGGAAGGTTCTTGTTTTATGGTGGTGGGCTCTATAGTGAATTTTTAGCCAATGAGAGTTAGTCGATTCACTAAAGATGAGTCTAATATTAGTGGTATGAGCCAATCACAGCTCTCCATCACTAATGATGGATTTGACTAACTCTCTTCCAGACTAAATTAGTAGGTCCAAGCTCCATACGGCCCTAGCAGTTTCTCTTTGTCTTATCAAACGACTAAACACCTTGTCTTAAGGACCCACCATAGCCCTCGATTTTGAGGAAGCGCTGTAGATCCCCTAGGATCACTTCTAGCTCCCTGAAGATGGGATGGTAGGTTCTTGGCAACTCAAATTGACTGGTACTACATGATGTAATAGATAGATCCAACGATACCAATGATAGAAACTGAACTTTTAAATCTTGCAGATATATTACTACTGTATCTTGTCGAGTATCGTTCAGACTTCTCTGATGGCAGATTGAAATCAACTGCTGATACTGGTATAAATAGGTGGTAGTAGGAGTAGTCTCTTCACCTTTGGAATCAAGTCCTTGTCTCAAACGGGTGCAAAAAGGTTGATTGTATTGCCGCCAGAGTAGAATAAACAATACCCGAATCTGAAAGCATCAACTATGACAATACTGTATCAGATTTTCCTATCGCGGCTTTGGCCAACAAGGAACCATAAAAGGTTTCTGTCTATGCTTTTGCCTGTGAATCTTACTCAAAACCGGTTGATTATTGCATGCCTTCATTCGTGGACCTCGTACTTACTCCCTTTGCAGTGACATTGGGATTTGTGGTGACCCTTAATCATCTTGCTTGGTTCCCAAAACGTTGAGTCCATTGAGGTCACCGCCGATTATATATCGAATCCAATACTGGCTGGTTCTTGCAAGCCTGGCATAAGTAAGCGTTTCAATAGTATCATAGCAATAGCATCAGCTGCTAGAGTCGAGCAGTAGTCATGCCTTGATTCACCTTGCTTCCAAATGATTTGTTGTTGACACAAGATCGGGCTGCCGTCTTTACACTGACATCACTTTCATGCTTCCAATCTTAGACACTAAAAATCAAGGTGCGACGAGCCTCGAAGTTTCAATTTAATCTGCGACATGCAAAGATAGTAGATATTGTTATTGGCTTAGGGGTTCTTGGAAATCATTCCAATACTGTAAGCGGTTAGGACTCATCGATTGTCACATCAAACATTCATGGACTGTTACCTTGTTCTAAATCTGTCTAAATCCTGGTTAACGCCAGGGGCATAGCGTATGCCATCTTGCGACGCCATGTGTGAAACCAGCACTGTGTTGTAGAGCCCCTTCATTGCAATCCTATTGCTTTCTCCTCTTTTCTTCTCTCTTCGTTTTTTCTTTCCTTTTCCTTTCTTCTTCTCTCTCCCCTTCTTTTCTCCCCGGGGGATCTAGTATAAACTGCTCCACCAGCATAAAACTGGAAATATTCGGCTGGCGCGTATTGACATTTTTGCGTGATGGGCCAGGCAAATACTCGCGTCACAGCCTGTTCTGCTGTCGAAATCGTGTCTGCATGTCAACGGTCCCAAGTCTTGCCGGGAAGACACTGTGATACGTGCCCTGCATGATGCGGAGCGCACGCGTGTCACAAAAGTGGAGGGAAAACTACGGCACGTGTCATTGAACCTGTTTTCCCTCCAAAATAAAAGGGGGATGATTTATGATTGCTGTCTACAGCGCTCCGCGTTTCCTGGTACATTGTACACAGAGCTCAGGAACGGCCGGGAACGGCGGTCGTATTGGTCGGCCATCTTATATGCGAAAGACTGAAAAAGGAATCTTAGTCGCCGAATGACATTCCGACGAAGAGTCCGATTCCCGTTGAAATTTTGTAGAAATATTAAATGTAATTCCCCTTCGCAAGAGTGCTTCAAAGAAGAATAAAATGTTCGTGAGACACATTCCCCTGGCATTAAAAGTTTTTAAAATGTGAATTATCAGACCACTTTTTAGTGAATGCTGACCGGAACGGTCGTTAGGACGAGACAGTCGAGCCGTGGACCAGTGGTCCACGAGCCAGTCGAGCCGTGGACCAGTGGTCCACGAGGATATCGAGCCGTGGACCAGTGGTCCATCCAATCATATTAGAGTAAACCAGCTGAATTAGTGAATTGCACGTGCTACAAAGAATATCGAGACAATATGATTGGATGGTCCTGTCGTCCATTTCAATATGATTGGATGGTCCAGTGGACCATCCAATCACATTGAAGAAAGCGGGACCTGGATCGTAGAACAAAGTCTATTTTGCACCCGCCTCGAGACAATATGATTGGATGGTCCTACCGTCAACTTCATTATGATTGGATGGTCCAGTGGACCATCCAATCACATTGTTGGAGAAAGCGGGACCTGGAAATCTGTGAATCGTAGAACAAAGTAGCTGAATATCTATTCGCACCCGGCTCTAAGGATATCGGGACAATATGATTGGATGGTCCTGTCGTCCATTTCAATATGATTGGATGGTCCTGTGGACCATCCAATCACATTGAAGAAAGCGGGACCTGGAAATCGGTGCATCGTAGAACAAAGTCTATTTTGCACCCGCCTCGAAGGATATCGAGACAATATGATTGGATGGTCCTACCGTCCACTTCATTATGATTGGATGGTCCAGTGGACCATCCAATCACATTGTTGGAGAACGCGGGACCTGGAAATCTGTGAATCGGAGAACAAAGTAGCTAGTAGGGATGGTGGACCTACATCAAACAATCGATCATTGTTATCTCGTTCAGGATCATGGAGTATATTGTCTTGCGATGCTGTGCATGAGGCCAGTGATGTGTTGTAGAGACATTTTTTGTACTGTTGCTTTCTCCTCTTTTCTCTTCTCTTCTCTTTCTTTGCTTTCCTTTCTCTTAGTTTCCCCCCCGGGGGATCTAGTAGTTGCTCCAGCATAGTATAACAGCCGATTTCATCATGCCACTACAGTACTCAATCAATATTTCCACTCACTTTGCTGTTTGTACCATAACAAATGCGGCTGCAGTAGTTATAGATAGAATTTTCGATGTTTCAATTTTCAATGACTCTAGTCTAGGACTACAACAACTTGCAAGTTTCTTTCAATTTTTAATGACTGTTCAACTGATTTAGGACCTACTTAAAACGCCACTACTACAAAACGCAAACCAGGATTCAGCATGAACCTTCAATGGATTCAGGGATGGGAAATTGTTCTTGGCCAAACGTCAAATCCCGTGGGCTAAGCTCACAAAAATACTTTTGGAAGTCCTTCTCGAAAAGGCGGAAAGCAACCCTAAATCGCAACAGTCGCCCATTAGATAATGGCACGTAAAAGCATTGAGGGGAGGCTGTTCGTCATTAGAGGACTTGTGCCATGCCATCAAGGCTTGGTAAATACATTCAGCAGCCTCTTGTTGCTCTCTTTTGTGCTCAAACCACTCATTCACTTCATCTTCGGTTGGTCCACCAACAAATGCCTTATTTGACATGGCCATAGATTGCTGGGCAGCTTGTTTGCGCCAGATTCCACCATTTGGTCCAGAAAGCAGTGGGCGAATCCATCCGATCGACGTTTGTTGGTCATGGACAAGCGTTTCAATGTGATGTACAACATTGATTGATAATATCTGCCGTTTGGATTGTCATTGTTTTTGCCGGGCATTCCCGCCAATCTTCTTGCCAACTGGCTGCAAATCCCGGCAGCGGCAATTGGAATGGGGCAATGTGATTGGATGGTCCACTGGTCCACGAGCACGTCGAGCCGTGGACCAGTGGTCCACGAGGATATCGATCCGTGGACCAGTGGTCCACGAGCACGTCGAGCCGTGGACCAGTGGTCCACGAGCAAGTCAATCCATGGACCAGTGGTCCACGAGCCAGCCAATCCGCCAGTTGTTATGGAGCGTCGAATATTCTAGCATTGCCAACATACTGGATGATTAAAAAATCAATTAAAGGGAGATTAGTTCAATCAGAGAATATTTCTTGACGCGCGTTGAACGCTCCCACCCTCCGCAAACAGGAATGATGTTCTTTGAATAGTCCATATGTCTTAAAACAAGTAATCTGTACGACCACTAAGATTCCGTCTCCAAGATTCCCATTTTCCTGCAGCTTACAACTTCGATTTGACTCGTTTGACCACCGTTCCCGGCCGTTCCAGGTCACAGCGAGGGCAACCCAAGGGGGGGTTTTCGTGGATCGGGGTCTTAATTCAATATTCACAGAGGGCATTTTGTATTCGAAGTCACCAGGATCGAGTTCGGCCAATGCGGTCATTGAAACAAGGACAGACGACACGGCGGTCGTGTCAATCATTTCCTTGAACAAGGTTGGTCCATCTTCATGATTCGGCAGGTTGCCATTAGTCTTCAAGATCTTGTCCTGCAGCGCACCAGTTGTGCTACCAAGCAACTTGGCAAAGAGAGCTTTCGAATTCTGCTTAGCTCGAGCATCAGTGCGGCTGGTGGCAGCGGCGGTGATGTCAACAAGTGGAATTGAAGCGTAATCGTCGAGGAGGTTCTTGCCGCCGAAGAAGATGATGGAGCTGGTTCCAGCAGTATCCATCTTGTGAACCTTCAAGGCTGTTTTCAGATCATGTAAGAAGGCAGGCATCTTGTCAACGGTTCCATCCCGTGGGGTAGCAAGAGGATCAGCCATGCTCTAGTAGGCGGTGCTGCCGTAGCGGGTGGACAGATCAAAAGGAGTGTCTTCAGAGTGCTCATACACAGGAGTGTGAACCGAGCCAGTTGCTGCCGTTGGAGCAACAGTGGCTGCCGTTGGAGCAACAGTGGCTGCCGCAGCGATAGCTGCAGCGGCGTTGGCTTGTTCGGCGGCCGTGTTCTGACGGTCAAGCTGAGCAATTAGCTGGGCAAGCATGCCTTGGAGTTCAGCCATGTTAGAGCGATTTTGGTTGCCTCTTGTGTTGGCGACGATCTTGAAGGACGGAGCGCAATGGGCTCAGGAGGAAGGGATGAGCGCGAAGGAGCTCAAGACAAAAGAACGCGAGAGGGTTCAAAAAGAATGAATGAAGAGCCAGTATAGGACTCAAAGAAAGAACGATTGGGAGAGGAAGATCTTCGTCAAGAATCGTTGGGCTCAATAACCTGTGAATATATCGTAGTATAAATCAAATCGTATTAATATTGTAAATTAAAAGCTTGATGTACAATCCAAAGCAACAACTTCTCCAAAAGGCTACATACTCAACCAGCTGTCTTGAAATGACCAGCTGGTGTGAGTTGCTCGGATTAAACAAATCGACTCGAATGATTCATGAGGTGACTCTGGAGATTAATATTCTCTCACGCCCTGAAGTCATAGGACCGCAGAACGACAAAGGTACACTGGAAAATTTATTGATGCAACTTGAACTGGTGTTGGCTGGACCACATACGATTTGGTGCAGTAACAGCAGGTATAAGCTGGATCCTCAGTTAAGAAAGACTTTCGTGGTAGAGAAAACGCTGAGCTTGTTGCATTCAACACTCTTCGGTTTCGCTTGCTGTAGTACTGGTGTAGTGCTGTACTGCAAGTGCACCACAAGTGGTCAAATCCGAGGTCATCCGTGACAAGCTGCAGACTCATTCGATTTGGCGTTTGGGCTCAATCCCACTTGGCTTGGGTGCATGAGACGGGGAAAAAGTATGCCTTTTTCCCAAGTGGAAATGCCTGGGGAAAACGTTTTCCCGTTTTGGGCGCTTTTCCCTAACTATGGAGACAAATTTGGGGAAAAAAAGGCCGGGGAAAGGAAAAAAGTGCCATTTTTCCTTTTCCCAGGTCACTATGGATTTGGCCTCAGAAGGTATCAAGTGGTACACGGTTGGAAAAAAAAAATGCTGTAGTAGTATATATAGGCATAGTTGATGCAACAAAAGTTAGGAACTGATAGTAAAATGTACAAGCGTTTCGTTTGTTCCATCGCCTTACCATTAGAATTTCTGGTGCCCTCGTCGTTGTCAAAAGATTGTTCATTCTGTGTCCTCGCGATAACAACAAGAGTCGTTCATTTCCAATTGTGGCAATAAAACTTTGAAGATCAAAATTCAGCTGTCCCAAAGAAGCAAGCCAACCCAAACTCTTGGTAATCAAATCCACGGAGATTGTCATCCTACCATCTCTACATACGCTAAAACAACCGTTGAGATTTGAACCAGTCTTATCGAATACTAATTGAAATGCCAGCCACCTTGGTGGCAGTTCCTTCCTTGGTGGGATCTTTATTGCGTAATTGCATCAATATTACACTCATCAAAATGAAAAGTCTAGCTAACAAAGGAAGAATTGCATGGCTGCGACGACAGTCATTTTGCTTGCCCCCCAAGTTCATGGTAATGAAAACTCTTGCTGTGCGTCACAAAAAGCATACATATGTGGCTGTATTCACCTGCAACAAGACAGATTGTTTCTGCAACAACAATATGTGGAACAGGTGCCCTGTGTGCATTTCAAAAAATCAAAAGATTGATTCAAGATTGGGGCAACACATCCTATAGAAAAGCCATCTAATTGAAGTTGGATCTTTCAAAGCACTAATGGCTACAGTCGGCCAAATAACACACAAGCTAGAGTCCACGGGCTGATTCTGAAGCATCATCATGTCACAAAAAAATGGTGGGCAGAGAGCTTGGACGGTAGTGGATACCCCTAACTTATCCCATTGCCGTATACTCTCCCTTTGGCATGACCAAGACGGAACTTTTGAAGCAATAGCCACTATAATCAGCCAAATAATCAAGAAGCTACCCTTCCTGGACCAATTCTGAAGCATGAACATGTCACACAAAAATGATGGTAAGGGAGCTTGGGTGCTAGTGGAGACCCCTAACTCGTCCGATTGCTGCATACTGTCGCTTCTGCATGACCAAGAAGGAACTTTTGAACCACAAGTGACTACAATCAGCCAAATAATACACAAGCTAGAATCACAGGACTTTTTTTGGAGTGTCATGACAGAATTTTAACTGGAATGAGATCTCGGACCGCATAGCAATGGTTTTATAATATTTAGTAGTAAAATAGATAATGACGTGTCATTGGAAGAGAATGGTTGAGATCCACACATCAACATTCGCCAATTCCCGATCGACACTCATCGCGTCGCTTTGTTTTACCTTTGAATTTGTTTTTATACTATCATCTGTAATTCTCGGCGCTTTCCCCATTTTAATAATATTTTGTCAGATTAACAGTCGCAGTCACGCACCAACAGCTAACTGCCGCCGTTTTTTGCACAGAAAAACGCCCTCTGCTTCACTCAGAAGCATCACACCCTCTTTGCCACCCAACTGGCAATTCCGGCCCATTGCAACACTCACACTTGCGATCTGGCCCTGTCCCCCTGACATCTACAGTCGAAGACCAGATCTTTTCCTTTTTTCTCTGGTTCATCAACTGACCTAAAATTGGGCTCCCATACCCATCACTGTTGACAATTACGCGAAGACCCAGCGGCACAAGGGTATTGGTTTTATTTTATTTTATTCTTGGTGGTGGTTTTATATATTGGTATTCCAACCCTCTTGGAAACCAATAGGTGTAAAGCGCTGGGCATCCGCCGAACCCGTGCTTCCCCCACTTGTTGTCTTTTGCTTCTGGTGTCGAGAAATCCACCACAAAGACTGCTTGTGAGGTTCATTGCCCGGCTGTACTGTAATTAAACGAGGTGGTTCCTGTCCCTAAAAGCAGGCAGCGGCACACAGATTGATTTCTTTTAATCGACTGAAACTTGTTCTGGATTCTGTACATCCGTTGAGTACAGTTTCCCGCGGTCCATCACAACACGTTCAGGGCAGATAGTCGCTGAGTGCACAGCGATTATCGACGTGTTGCATTCAATTTTTTCAACCTAACAACCAGCCAGTTTTCCATCTAACCGGGCACTTGTTACTCGTTTGAAGCACCGGGACGCCTATACCCGTATAAAGGTCGAGGGGTTTTCATCCAGCCTCTTGCAGTCTTCTGCAGCCGGTCTTTTACCGACTCAGCAAGACCAGTCTCCGCTTTCCCAATCGCAATTCACGTTGCTGGTTGTTGAATACGGGGATAACCGGATCGAGAAGGTCGGGAGCTAAGTCCATAGAAAAACGGGCACCTCCTGTCACCACTTGTGGGACCTTCACAACTGACCTGACCTCTTTCTGACGTTCAAGCAAACCAGGAAAGCCTTACCGCAATCCTTGGGACTAGTGAATCCGTTGGCCCTTCTTGTCAGGGAAATACTCGACCGACCTTTGTTGTAAAAGAATTTGGGATTAGCATCGTCCCTAGACTTTTCAACCTTGTGAGAGAACTTTTCCCCTTTGTCATCTGCCCACAACAACAAACCAGACATGCCGACCACCCAACGTGGCACAATGATTCTCCGACTGTTCCAACTGCTAGCGTCCAACCTGCGAGTACAACCACTCCATCAGTTGGCAATGCAATTGGTAAAGCGTCCAACGCTATTGAACCTGGTAACACCCCTGCAAGTCTCGATTTTGCCATCAAGACACTCATGCAGCGGCCCTTGAACGGACCACTCATGCAGTCCCTTCAACGTGACGGTATCTTCTGTTTCAGAGACCTCCTGTTGCGCAAAGACACGGATCTCCTAGACCTGAAGTACGACGCACCCATCACTGATGGGAGTGGTGCAAATACAGGCCGAACAAAGCTGACACAGCTTGACAAGGCTAACCGTGGCATCATCAATGCACTCCTTGGTTACACCTACATACGCTCAGATGTTCAACATGATCCAATCACTACTATTCACAACTGTATGAACATCAACGTTGAAGCATTTAAAGAATATAGGTATAGCGGAAGTTTTATAACTTATAGTCATTCTACTATTCCTCAACCTTTAGTTGCTAAGCCTGATCGCCGTACACCCGCTGATTCCTTTCAAAAGAGTTTGAAACTAGATCCTGATGCGTAACCTGTTCTGAATATTGACTCAGAATGGGACATCTTCAATCAATCTTTTCGTTCCACCACTTGTGTTCATAACACACTGAACGTTCTGGATCACTCCTACGTTCCTGCCTCTGCGGACGACAAACAAACAGCAGGCCTTCATGCATCTTTGTCACCAAGCTGCAGACCAACACTGGTAAATCTCTGGTACAAAAGTATCAGCAGACGTACGATGCTCAACAAATTTGGGCTTAACTCAACGATAATTGTACGACCTAAGTCGCAGCCGACACGCAAGATTCTTCCCTGATGACTTGGTTGACTACCAAGAAACTTGTCAAGTTGGACTGGCCCGGCAAACACTACGCTTTTGTTCTTCATTGGCTTGAACAAGCACGACTCTATAACGAGATTGCTAGTGACGCAACCGCAAGGTTTCTTTCCAATGCGAGGATGTTACCGTACATGAGCTTCCAGCTCCTGAACCCTCCATTCGACAAGATTTGTTTTACTTGGAACGCAAATTGCAAGGGTAAGTTATTATATTTGTTTGGTATTGATCTGTGGCCGACTGCTCTATTCCTTATCATGATACTCACAATATTATGCACTTCACTCCTTTTACCACCATAATTTGCAGTTTCCTTGATGAATTTGTTAAATCCTTGAACCCTCAATTGTAAAACAAGCAGAAGCCAACAAGAACCAAGCATCCCATTCAGTTCTCGGCGAGCACTATTGACGAATGGTGGGTGGAAGGATCTGGACAACACCAACAACAACAACGGAAAACAAAGCCTAATACTTTTTGTATATTATGGATTGGGACTTGGATTGGGGGCGCGCCAAGAACGATGCACCCATGTCTTGTTGTGTGTGGCGGCTGATCCGATGATCCAAGAACGAATACCCCCTTGCACATGATGTGGCAATCATATAACCAACCAACCAACCAACCAACCAACCAACCAACCAACCAACCAACCAACCAACCA